AGACAAAAGGAGAGATAATAAAAGGGTAAAATACACTAAAACACTTGAGGAATGTTGCTATATTCACAACATACATTCATGTGCATCAGCATTTTCCTAATAGCTTAGCTTGATTGGGTTCAATGCATAAAATTAGTTCTTCATTTCATCAAATGCATCAGCTGATCCATGTTCCACGGATCAATAGATTCAGAGTACTACATTGCTGTGCTAAAAGCTTCGTGACTAATAAACAACCAACACACCCAGTTTGTGTGATATCATGAAATTAACAACAGCAACCTGTAACGTAAGCTTATGGGCTGCAAATGAGGCAAACTGACTCCACTATTAGAGCAGCATTACAGATACCACCTCTAACTGTGGTTAACACAGCAGCACTGGCTGTAATTACTATATGTTTAATGTATAATAACTACACCAGACTCATGCTTTGATTTAGATCTGTTGGGATTTGGTTCAAACTTCTTCTTGAATTGGAAAAGGGTAGAATGCCTTCTAAGGGACGAGGTCCTGCCTCAAGTGGAGGAGTTGTCTTGTTCACGAGTGAGGGAAAGATGGAGAATGAGATCGATAGGAAGATTGGTGCTACGTCTGCAGTGATGTGGGTGTTGTACCGATCTGTCGTGGTGAAAAGAGCTCTAGATTTATTATTTGATACATTCCTACCCTCACCTATGGTCATGAGCTTTGTGTAGTGACTAAAAGAACGAGATCGCAAATAAAAGCGGCCGAATTAAGTTTTTTCCGCAGTGTGGCTGGGCTTTCCCAGAAATAGGGTGAAAAGGTCAGTTATCCGGAATGGGCTTGGAATAGACCCACTGCTCCTCCATATCGAGAGGAGCCAGTTGAGGTGGTTCAGGCATCTGGTTAGGATGTCTCCTGGATGCCTCCCTGGTGAGGTTTTCTAGACACGTCCAACTGGGAGGAGACCTAAAGGACATGCTGGAGGGACATTTCTTGGCTGGCCAAGGAAAGGTTTGGGATTCCCCCGGAAGAGTTGACCCAAGTGGCTGGAGAGAGGAAAGGCTGGGCCTCTCTGCTTAGGTTACTGCCCCTAACTTGACTCTGGATAAACAGATGAAAATGTTCGTATGGATGGATGGATGAACTTTTTTAATAAACATTGCATATACATTCACTATCAAGAGTTCAGACTGGTGACACATACTCTTTCTTCTCTTACTGAATACCAATTTAAGTCTTTTTATCAACAGATAAGTTGCCTTTTTGTTTCTAAACTGTTTATTTATATTCCCGTAAGACCAGAGCAGTCATAGCTGACATGTCCAGACAAATATCAAACAGTAAAAGGTGACCTTTTGTTTTTATTGGTCCGTGTATTTAAATGTTTTCCATAATTTCTCTCCTGTTTTGGTAGCAGAAATGAAATTGAATTTTTGCTCCCTTCCCCCTCAGGTTTATTGTGTTAGGCTAAAGCCTGTGCGCACTCCCACACTGAATGACAAATAAATGAAATGCATTTCCTATGTGCATTTTCAAAACAGTCAATTAGAGCTTTCTTGTCTTTGTGTGTGACTGCAGCAGAACACACTGTTGCACAATGAAAGCACTTTGATTTTTGCAACCCAGCCAGTGATAACTGGGCAGTGTTTGACTTACAGAATGTACTCATTTCAATGAATGCTAAAATCACAGCCTTGATTGACATGTTCTACATGTCATACTATTATTGCTGAAATAAATAAAGTGGCAAGCATGACTTGAACATTTCAGAAAATGATAAGGGGCTGCATGGTGGCGCTGTTGCCTGGTAGCAAGAAGGTCTGAGGTTAGAATCTGCTACAGTGTTAGCATGTTAGCATGTACTGATTTCCCTCCACAGAACTAAAACATGCACGTTAAGTTAATTGGAGGCTCTAGAATTGTTCCAAGGTGTAATTGATTGTGTCACTGGTTGCTTGTCTCTGTGATAGACTGAGACTTGTCCAAGGTGTCCTCCCTTTACCTTGCCAACTGCTGAGTTGGACACAAGCTCCCCAACAGCTCCAATGAGGATGAAACAATTTAGATAATTGAGGGATGGAAATTTGAAGCATGCCAAATGGAACTGCTGCCCTTGCTTCCAAAATAAATCACCCTTCTTCTATGAAGCCCAAAAATAATTCAGGAATTACTTGCTTTTTGTTTAAACTTTAATAAAATGGTACATTTTGATGTTTAACCTATTGGAAGTGTAAAGAGAATGTTTAAGCTAGTCCCAGTGTCTCTTTAGCATCACCATGTTATCCACACACCTGTCTGTCACGTCCTCACAACTCTAAAGTTAATGTTACGCTGAGCTAAATATTTCATCTTAGAATTCCTAAAAAAGAAAAGAAAGTTAACAAAGTCATACAAGATATAAAAAACACGAGTCCAGTCATGTAAAATCCAATTGTGTTTGGCCTGTTTTAATTCCAAACATTGTTTCTATCCAAAAGTCTGAGTCTTAGAGCTCAAAAGAGTTTGGTTTATATTGTTACAGTACACTATTTCTGATTGGAATATAAGTTTTAATGCATTTCTTTCAAAGCTGAAGAAAGATGCAATGCAAAAAATGATAGCACAAGCTTAAAAGACATAAAATCATATGTGTGCATTGGTATACCGTAAATCCTCTAATATTGGCCTGTATTCCATTACCGGCTGGGTTTCCTACATCTCACTGTCAGCAAGAGTAAATAAAGGCCAGTCTCTAATAGTATTATTAATAGTATTAATAGTCTCTAATAGTATCAATAGAAACTACTTTTTTCTTCTAGGTAGGCAACATTACCGGTATTTCCACGGGGAGGAGAGGTCTCAGGGGTCAAGTCAGTTTCACATGAAGTTGCGTTCACATCACCATCTGCAGAGCTGGGTAAGGAGGTAGCCACAGCAGCACAGAACCTTATTTACTTTGCTGACTGGGTGTAAAAATGTGCACATTTCGTGTGATTGGAACAAAAACAAACGAGGATGAGAACAGTCAATTAGAGGAACAAGAGGACGATGAAGAGGAACTGCACAGTAATGAACTTGTTGTAGAGGCTGGTGCAAGTGATGAAGAGATTACAGGGAGAGATGAAGAGGAGAGAACTGAGGAGGATGAGGATTAAACAGTTGGAGGACTTTTTTTTTTAATTTACTTCAAACCAAACAAGACACAAACGGTTCAACTTTGGAGCGGTAAAGTGTCTGTTGCCTTTTGTTGTGAATCAATAACTTAATTATCACCAAATGTTTACAATGTACTTCTGGCATGTTTGCTACGTTTTTGTTAACATAGTGGGATTTAGCCTGAAATAGCAGCATTTGTTTTAAATGTTCTATATGCATTTGTACGTACAGCATTCACTGTACATTTTCAATAAACGAACTTAGTGTTTTATAGGTTCAAATACCGTAGACACAAATTCTTGTTTTTATTCATTCTACTGGTAGTTTATTTTGCTCAAATTGAAATTTAGGCCTACTTCTAATTCTGGCTTCCATCCAATAAAGGTCGGAACCAGGATGCACGTGAGTAAATAAAGGCCCAGGCCTGTACTAGAGGATTTACGCCAAGTAGTAGCTGTACCTTTTTCTTTTAATTATAAATAACATTCTCTCTCTTTAACTAGTTTGCTTGAGTTGTGCAAGACTTTGGAGCATGAAGTGTCATTCTCTGCCAAGATCACTGGCAACATAACAAAGCGATGACCCAACATATAGAGTTGTAATACCAATGTGAATATTGATAAAGTTGTGGAATGCCATTCTGCATTCAGAGATAAAAAGAAGGAAGCTCAAAAAGTCATTTTTACCACACATAAAATCTGCTTATGAAGCCTGATTTATTGGAGTATAAACAACCATGTGATTGGGCATCAATACTGTCTCTGAGGAATTTTATTTAGACCATGGGGAAATTAAATCATAATCGTCTCTGGATCAACTGCAAACATCTCTTCTGAATATGTCATTATTTAATTTGACTCTTTCAAGCATATTCTTGCATAACACTTAGTGCATATTATGTGCTTTGATTGAATGCAGATGCAAGAATGGCTGGCACAACCAATGACATGCATTAAATAAAAATGCATATGCTTTTATATCTGTTGTGTTTCTGCCTGTTGGCTGAAGAACAGGAACATCAGCCTTTTGGTGTGGTCCTGCATTTTTAAAGAGAATACGTATAGACTAACAAATTATGTATTAAAGTAAGTATTTAGTATTTTTCATTTTCTCAAACCAATTGATGTTATCATTACTGTTACCATCATTATGAAAATAATGTCTAAAAACAATAGATTTTACCTTAATATATAACGTTTCTTTTACCTATTCAGGGGGTATGATCAATATGGCAGCTTTTTATTTTCATACTCTGAAAAGTCTCTGGACAGGTTGCCTGTGTTACTATAGGTTTATGACTCATCAGTAATAATCATTTATTTTTATGGCTTAAACCCTGCTTTATGTGTTTGAGTTTCTGTTGTCGAAAGTTTAGGAGTTCCTTTGTTTGCATCTCCATTTGAGATGCACCCTTTTTGTTGTTTACCAGAGGTGTGGACCCGGGTCACATGACTTGGACTCGAGTCAGACTCGAGTCATTATTTTAATCACTCCTGACTTGACTTAATAAAATCTATAAAGACTCACAACTTGACTTGGACTTGAACGCCAATGAGTTGCGACTTGAATCGACTTGCATCTGTTGATTTGATGATGACTTGAACACATTTAATATTTTAGCACAAAAGTGGTACGACATGGACAAACAGCGCCGGCGCTCCGCACACGCACACCATGCACAGCGTGTAGGGCACCACGCCGGGGGAGGGGCACCAAACGCAAGCTTATGAAAAAAATTATATGTATATAATACAGACAGATTTCAATTAGAAGATGTGCAAAGCAAGTTAACAGCATGTTTACAGAGAGAGAACAACACAAAACGGAAAGGAGATGGACCGTGTCGCACCGTCAAAGCCCCCCCCCCCCCTTGGGCGGACGATGCAGCGGGCACAGTCATGGCTCCGAAAAGGCTGCAGGAGTCCGGGGCAGTAAATAGACAAAAGAAGAAACAGCGGGATGATGCTGTTGCTTCGATTGTAGGTAAGACAAGTATTTCAATGGAAATTCTTATTTTTTTTTATCTATTCGTAATTCTAAACACGTGTGGTCAAGTTCAGAGGGTCGTTTGACCTAGCTTAAATTCAGACTTGTTACTGCTGTTAATTAATCTGTTTATGGTCAAATTTTGCCTAGTTTGGTATAAGCATGCTGCTTTTCAGGACTTTTATTTGGTGTTTTTCGTTCTTTGCTTCCGTACATTTAACATTTTGACTCTATCTGCGTGGTTTGGGCAGATTTTGTTCTCTGCTTCTCCAGTATGTTAAAAGTATAATGCGCCACTCTGTCCCGCAGCCTCCCATCCACCTACCGGGCGTTCGTTAGTAGCTGAGTGAGAGAGGCTGAGAGGGAGAGGAACTCAGACAAGCTTTAGAGCTTTTTACTGCTGGAGAAAAAAATGTAGCAAGTCATCATCTTCCTAAATGCAGTTATTCTCTTCTGAATCAGCACTTCTTTAAAGAAGAAGAAATAGTTAAATGCAACAAAGGGAAATATCCTTTTATTCGGCCTGTTCATGCGATTAAAAAATAAGTCTGAACAGTGTTAAAGGTTGTTCACCTAAAAAATAGACCTTGAAGAGTTTGAAGATTTTTTTTGTTTTAATAAGTTCATCTTAAAACATCTTTCTCAAGTAAAATAAAGTTTCCCCTGTGAGGTCAGATCTGTGCTGTTTTGAAACAGAGATAAACAAATGAATCATATTTGTCCACCCAAATACTTAAATATCACAAAAACAGGAAGGACAAAAACACCGTCAAGGTAAAGTAAGACATTTTATTTTTAAATAAGCAGCTGTTTGTGATTAATCATGAGTTAACCATGGACATGATTTATATCATTATTAAATAGCCCATGTGGCCTATAGGCTATGTAACTAAGATTTAATATGAAAAATTAGATAAACCTATTTTTAAATTAGGTATTTGCTCTATGGTGATATATATTTCATAAACATTTACGGGCCAAGGGGAACATCAGCTGCTGATGGTATAATTTGAAGAAAAAAGTCCATTATGCTAACCTCCTCCCTTCATATTCAGAATTTTGTAGTTGTGTGTAAAATGTGTACATTGTGCCTCTCTAGTCCTTAATAAAGGTTAAATAGTTTTGAATTTAGTCATGTCACATGCCAGTGATTCATAATATAAACCTATAAATAATCTATTGCAGTTTTTTTTACCATGGTTTAAAACTTTTAACTTATTATAGAATGAATATGACAAATTATCTTTTTGTGTTTGAATGCAGGCTCAATGAACAAGTACATTCAAGGAGGAGCTCAAGCCAAAGTTCAGATCAGCCATCCACCAGCAGTTCAAGAGCTCAAGATCAGTTGTCAGCCATCACGTCTGAACCTTCTACAACATCACCCAGCCCTGACCAGGAATTACAAAGTAAAGAACACCTACAGACCGAGCACAGCCCACATCCACTACTTCTGAAGGCAGAGTGAGTCCTGGATCTGAAAAAGCATCTGAAAATTACATTGGAGAAACACGTGTGCCACAACCGGTGCTTGTGTTGTGTGGATCTGTTACATAGTTCTAAATAATAACAATATGAAGTTCCTGTGTTGAGTATGTTATATTATGTAAATATCAGTCCTACTTTTTGTAAATAATAAGCAGTTTGTGCATACAAGAGAATTAAAGATAATTTAAGGCGAAGCGCTTGCACATGCTGTGTTATTGCAACTGGTTTTGAGTATGGAGAAAGAGGCCCAAGATCAACATAACGATCCACATTCCTGCTGTTGGGGTGAAAAACAATGAGCTCTGTCTTTGCCTCATTCAGATGCAGAACGTTGGCCATTACCAAGACTTCACCTCGTTAACACAGGACACAAAGGACTGGATAGAGTGACCTTTCTCCTGACACAATGGAGAGTAAATCTGGCAATCGTCAGCATAGAGATGGAATGATAGGCCATGTTTACGAAAGATTGACCCCCAGAGGTAGCAGATAAATGACAAACAAAAGAGGACCAAGGATCGACCCTTGCGGGACCCCCCAGCGGAGCCCCTCACAAGAAGAAAAAACATCACCCAGTTTAACATGGAATGTCCTGTTGTGGAGACACGATCTAAACCAGTCCAGAGCTGACCCTTTGATCCTAACCCATCGTTCCAAGCGATCCAGTAGAATCGCGTGGTCAACTGTGTCGAAGGCTGCTGTCAGGTCTAACAACAGAAGCACCACAGTTGTACCCTGATCTAGTGATAGATAGCTTTCATTTAGGACCCTCAGTAGAGCAGACTCTGTGCTATGGCCAGACCTGAACCCTGATTGGAAAACCTCAAACAGATCAGAGTCAGCTAAATGTGAGACCAGTTGCTGATAAACGACTTTCTCAAGCAGTTTAGATGTAAAGGGCAGGGTAGAGACAGGCCTGTAATTTTCGATCTGTGACGACCCTCGTCCCCTCGGTCCGTCCTCTCATCCTAGCCTGAGCCTTTTGTCCCCGCTGCACGGGATCCAGCACCAGGGACAGCGCCAGGAGCGGCCAGCTCACACTCTCCAGCGCTCCAGCGCCCTTTCAGGACCTCGGAGAGAGGCACGCCAGCAGAGACAGCAGCTGATCTTCATCAGCGATCAAGCAGCTCCCAGCTCTTTAAAAGGAGGAACGCAACAGACATCGAGGAGATCCTGGAGTAGCCAGAGATTCTCCTTTAGCTCACGGACACTTTAGCGACCGTTACCAGACAGGTTTAAGGCTGTTAACACCGTTCCTGCTGGGTTTAAGGTTATTGATAGAGATCCAGGAGTAGCCTGAGATTCTCCCTCGCTCATTTATGTTTAGGTTCTCTACTAAGGATCCCGGATTAGCCTGGGTACCTTCTGAGTGTGTTTTCACACACCTTGTTAAGGGTTAAGCCTTTGTGGTGTTTTTCTTTTTATCCCCATAGGACTTTTGAGCCGGGGATATTTTGCATTTTGGCAGAAAGCCTTTGTCATAAGCAGTGAGACTGCTTATGGTGTAGTTTATTATTACGAAGCCTTATTTATGCCGTTTACCCACGGACACCTTATGTTAATAAATCCTTTTGTTTTTACTCGAACCTCCTCGTCCTTTATCCTCACACACACTTTTACACCTATTTGCTTGTGTTAGCCCCCTCATCCTCCTAGACCTGCAGAGAGGGGGCGTAACATAATGGGGGCTCGTCCGGGATTTATTTGAGTTACAAATAATTGGAACTTAATCTAAGTCTGCCCGGTAATAAAGAAATAGGTTGTGCGCTGCGTTTTTTTTCCATTGCGCTTAAGTGTGTGTTAAGTACCCTGGGACTCTTTCATTTTGGTGGTTTCACTCTCTGGATTTTAGCTCTTCCCAGGTGAGCTCTATAATAATTATGTTTTCTTTAAAGGAGTTTCTGCGTGCACCGTCGCGGGAAGCGCTCGAGGCCTGCCGCAAGAGCGATCTGGTGGAGGTGGCTGAGCACCTTGATCTCAATGGCACCCGCACAATGACGAAACAGGTTCTAAAAGAGACAGTTATTGCTGCCTTGGAAAATTTGAACTTGTTGCCTGCAAAAGGGACTGGAGATCTTCCTGTCCTTTCCCCGCGTGCGGATGACGCCGCAAGCCATGAGAACGGAGCAGGACCATCTTCGGCGGCACCCGAGGAGACGGCTCCCGGCTACCAGACCCCGCCGGCTCACAGTAAGACCCCTTCTTCACCACTAACTTTGCCCAAGTCTGATCCTGTCTCACCAGCTTCTACTCCGAGTTCGCTGGAGCGTTTTAACCTACGTCTGAAAGTCCGAATGGCTCAGCTAAAGTATGAGGCCGAGGAAAAGGAGAAGCGCCGTCTGATGGAGATGGAGCTGGAGATCCGCAGAATGGATCTGGAAGCCGACACTCAGATCAAGCTAAAAAGACTTGAGCTGGAAGCCCAGGCTTGGAGACAAGCCGAGATTTCCCAACAAATTGACCCACATGTTGACACGCACAAGGTTGTGACAGAACCCGACACCACAAGAGAAGAAACTACCCCTGGAATAAAACAGAGACTGGACATAAGTAAATGCATTGTGTTGGTGCCACCTTTTCGGGAGTTTGAGGTGGACAGCTACTTCCAGATATTTGAGCGCATTGCTGCAGCTCTTGAGTGGCCTCGTGATGTGTGGGCGTTGATCCTCCAGTGCAAGCTCACCGGAAAAGCCCAGGAGGTAATGTCTTCTTTGTCCCTTTCTGACAGTTTAGATTACGAATGTGTGAAAAGTGCAGTGTTAACTGCTTATGAACTGGTCCCAGAAGCATACCGACAAAGATTCCGAGCATTAACCAATAAACAGCTACATCAGACGTTTGTCGAGTTCGCCAGAGAAAAGCTTTTATTATTTGAAAAGTGGGTTGCAGCATCAAAAGTGTCTTCTTTTACTGAGCTGAAGGAATTAATCCTGTTAGAGGAGTTCAAGAGATGTTTACCGGAGCGCACCGTTTTATACTTGAATGAACAAAAGGTAGCGACTTTGTCTTCTGCAGCTTTATTGGCGGATGAATATTCATTAACGCACCGCGTAAGCGGCGAACTGCCACCCAGAGATGCCAGGCGGCCTCCTATGATGAGGCCTGCTCACAGCGGTTCGGTAAACGCCCACCAGCCAAGATGTGTTTACTGTCATCGGTCTGGGCATGTAGTAAAAGACTGTTACAAATTAAAAAGGAAAAACGAACAGAAAACCTCCCCCTCACGTGAGGTTGGTTTTATAACGAAAAACAAGCAGGTCGTGACAGAAATAAACGACTGTTTTCAACCATTTTTGTCCAAAGGTGTGGTTCAGCTAAATGAGTCAAGTTCTGACCAAGCTCCAGTTATCATCTTGCGCGATACTGGGGCATCACAAACGCTCATAACTAGCGATGTCATGATTTTTAACGAGAGCAGTGAAACGGGCGTGTCAGTTCTGCTGAACGGAATAAATGGTGAGCCGATTTCTCGGCCGTTACACCGAGTCTTTCTTTCTTGCGAGCTAGCCAGAGGTTATTTTGATGTGGCGGTTTGCCCATCTTTGCCGATCGCTGGAGTAAATCTCCTGCTCGGAAACGATGTTGCTGGAGGAAATGTGGTCCCTCCATTCCAAGTTTTAAACGACCCGTGCTCAGACACCAGTTCGTGCGTTAAGGAGCAGCCAGGAATTTATCCTGCATGTGTCATAACCCGTGCCCAGGCACGTAAACAGGAGGAAACCTTACAGTTATCCTCTCTCTTTGATGATGGACACAATAAAGAGGACCATCACGTCCACGACCACAATGCGGACATTACCGCCGACACCGAGGATGAAGACGTGTCGCTCACGTCGGGGTGTCTGCCTTTACCCCGGATGACTTTAGGAGAGGAGCAGCGTCGTGATGACAGCTTGAATGGATGTTTTCGGGACTTTAAGAGTACTGATGGTGATGAGTCCGGTTGTTGTGTTGTGGTGAGGGAAATCAATTATACTACTACTAGAATTTCCATTCCTCATTGTCACCACAAGTCTAGGGCTTGTCACGTCCAAATGCAGAAGCTTTACCATTCCCCTCAGGCATCAACATCAGAGGTTTCTGAAGCTGCGGTGTGCGCAGCCGCATCCTTCACTCCCATCCCTGAGGGGGACGACCAGCTAACACTGCGTTCCATTTCTAGTCCACGACCGACAAACCCTCTTTCCTTTTCTTTCTGTCTCATTCTTGCCGTGTTACTGTTTTTGCATCATTTCACTAATCTCGATCTTAACCGTGTAAGTTTTCTCTCCAGGAATGAAAATCAACAGTTGCTGAGGTGGACCCTCATACTTCAAGTGCGGGACCTTAACAGGAGTATGATCCTCGCTTTGGGTGCGAGAGGTCCCTGGTTCAGATCCCGGAATAAGAGGAGCCGCGAGGATGTGGTTGCTGATGATCGGTCTCGCGGTTTTTGGTGCACTGTAAAGGCGACAGTAAAAGAGAAATAACCAGAAAACACTTCCGTGTTCATAGGAGTGAAACGAGAGCAACTCTCGTGGTTTTTCAGTATAGTGCCTTTCTTTTATTCTATGGATTTTGCAGATAATCTTGAATGAAGCGGTGAGTTCCCAGGTAGGTTTTAGAGGTATACCCCCTTTGGGGTATGTCCTGTTTGTTTTTTTTATTAGTGTTGTGTGTCGCGGCTAGTGTTGGTGTCCTTTTGGGCACCATCTCGGGAGCACCCCAGGAGGAAAAGGGGCCGGCTTGGCCACCCCTCTTCCTTGCTGGTTAGTATGTTTTCTTCGGAAAACATGTGCTTAATCTGCCCGCCTGCAATCACATGAAGCCTAGACTGAAGTTTTTTAGAGAAGAAATGTTAGGCAGTCAGTGGGGACTCATCCGTTTTTTTTTTGTCAACCTGAAATGAATCCTAGATTTGTTCTCCATAGGCATTGTTTTTTTTTTTTTCTCTGAGTTGGTTTTTAGAGCTTGTTCTTTAAGAAAGACAATCCTTTTTAATGACTGTCTTTCTTAGCTGTTTAGGGGGAGGCTGTGACGACCCTCGTCCCCTCGGTCCGTCCTCTCATCCTAGCCTGAGCCTTTTGTCCCCGCTGCACGGGATCCAGCACCAGGGACAGCGCCAGGAGCGGCCAGCTCACACTCTCCAGCGCTCCAGCGCCCTTTCAGGACCTCGGAGAGAGGCACGCCAGCAGAGACAGCAGCTGATCTTCATCAGCGATCAAGCAGCTCCCAGCTCTTTAAAAGGAGGAACGCAACAGACATCGAGGAGATCCTGGAGTAGCCAGAGATTCTCCTTTAGCTCACGGACACTTTAGCGACCGTTACCAGACAGGTTTAAGGCTGTTAACACCGTTCCTGCTGGGTTTAAGGTTATTGATAGAGATCCAGGAGTAGCCTGAGATTCTCCCTCGCTCATTTATGTTTAGGTTCTCTACTAAGGATCCCGGATTAGCCTGGGTACCTTCTGAGTGTGTTTTCACACACCTTGTTAAGGGTTAAGCCTTTGTGGTGTTTTTCTTTTTACCCCCATAGGACTTTTGAGCCGGGGATATTTTGCATTTTGGCAGAAAGCCTTTGTCATAAGCAGTGAGACTGCTTATGGTGTAGTTTATTATTACGAAGCCTTATTTATGCCGTTTACCCACGGACACCTTATGTTAATAAATCCTTTTGTTTTTACTCGAACCTCCTCGTCCTTTATCCTCACACACACTTTTACACCTATTTGCTTGTGTTAGCCCCCTCATCCTCCTAGACCTGCAGAGAGGGGGCGTAACACGATCACAGAGACATCAGCACCAGGTTTCTTCAGGGTCGGCCGAATAACTGCTGCTTTAAAAGCAGCTGGGACCACACCTGTGCTGAGGCTCCCATTGATAATCTGACCAAGTGAAGGGCCAAGGCACGGAACGGCAGCCTTCCAGAAGTGAGGCGGCAGAACGTCAAGTGGAGAGCCAGATGGCTTCTGCCTCGTAACAAGCTTACTCAGCTCAGAGTATGAAACCGTTTTGAGGGAGCTCAGGGTGGGTGGTGATGGAGGAACTGGAACCGGGTCAACAGAGTTACCAGAAATAGCTGCTCTAATGCCTGATACTTTATGAACAAAGAATCAGTGAAAAGCTTCAGAGTTTCCAGCAGCTGTAGGAGACATGGAGCTAGGCTCCTGATACACCAGAACAGAGTTTAGTGTTTTGTAGAGAATCTTAGGATTGGAGTTTGTTTCAATGATGTCTGCAAAATTGGCCGTTCTGGCAGCCCTCACAGCATCCTGATAAGCAACCAGTGATGCTCTGAACAACTCACGCGAGACCTGTAGGCCATCCTTTTTCCAATTTCTCTCAGAGGATCTACACGCCCGCCTGCAAGCCCGTGTGACATCAGAGAGCCATGGCTCCCTCCTAGGCCTAGACTTGCAAAGCTTGAGAGGGGCAACCACACCCAGGACCTGATTACAAAGTAAATCAAAGTGTTGTGAATAGTGTTCAGTGTTAGATGGATCAGGGTTAAAGGTCTCTAACCTTACAGACATACAGTCCACAAACTTTGAAATAGTTTCTGCATCCAGGGCTCTGAACCTAGTAGCAGGAGCTTCACACACAGGGACAGGACATGGCAACGTAACATCACAGAGTATTGGAGAGCGGTCAGAGAACACAGGAGGCAAAGTCACAAGGTTCATGACGGGGAGACCAAAAGAGAGAACCAGGTCCAGGGTGTGACCCCTGGCATGAGTTGGGGATGATACCCATTGAGTTAGATTGAATGAATCTAGCAAATTCAAAAAATCTTTAGCAAGCACATTGTCAGAAAAGCAGATATGGATGTACAAAATCACCCAAAAATCGGACATAATCATCTTTTAGGATGCAGTCTGCCACAAGATCACAGAAATCATTAAGGAAGTTAGAGTCAGTCTTTGGAGGCCGATAAATCAGCACGACGAGCAGGCGGGGGGAGATGCACAGTTCAAATAAGCACAGTTCAAAGGAAGAAGATGACATGGTGGGTGTAAGCTGTTTACAAGGAAAGCTGGATTTAAAAACAACAACCAGCCCCCCACCTCTGCCCCGTGATCTGGGTTATATTAAAACAGGAGCAGCCAGGTCGTACCAGCTCCAGCAGGGCGCTTGAGTCACCAAACGGGATCCAGGACTCACAGATGCAGAGAAAACCCAAGTGATGCTGAATAAAAAAAGTCACGAAGAATAAAAGTTTTGTTCAGCACAGACCTGGCGTTGACCAGACCAAACCGAGTCTGCGGCGGGGCTGCAGCACCGAGACCGAGCACAGACTCTTTTAACTCTGTGCCCGTAACTGCGCGCAGATTCTCCCAGCAAACCCCAGTCTGGCGAGATCTTCGAGCCGATCGGCCATGGCGCGGTGCCGGTTCACCCTCAGAGCCGGCCAAGTTCCCTGGGCAGGGCGCCGAGTAATCCAGGAGACATCTCGGAACCACCGGGTCAGAAGCTGGGCTGAATCAGGCCAGCCGCTTCTTCAGGGATCCAGGCCGACGTCTCACATGCCGGCTACCTCTCTTTCCCCGTCTTCTCCGATGCTTCCTTCTCGAGCTGGGGCGGACAGAGGGCCAACACATCACGGCTTGGGGGGAGAGAGCAAACGGGCAGTCCAACCAGCAGCACCATCAGTGAGGTTCCCAGCTTGCGCAGCCCGGTTCCCAGCGCGCGCTGCCCGCTACATCAACGGAAGGACAAAGCCTCAGCAGCGTAGCTCGATCGTATGTCAGCAGAGAATCCACACCATTCAAAAAAAGCATCAGAGACAACAAAAATGCATAAAAGCCAATAAAACGCCAATAAAAACCAGTAAAAAGCAAGGTACCAGTGCATAAAGAGGTCGAGCAGCTCGCAGCGTGCACCCGCGCGAGCGCCATCTTACTCTCAACTACTACTTTGGACATCAGCCCAGGATCTGATCTATCATTCCATCTCTATGCTGACGATTGCCAGATTTACTCTCCATTGTGTCAGGAGAAAGGTCACTCTATCGAGTCCTTTGTGTCCTGTCTTAATGAGGTGAAGTCTTGGCTAATGGCCAACATTCTAAATCTGAATGAGGGAAAGACAGAGCTCATTGTTTTTCACCCCAACATTAGGAATGTGGATCGTTATGTTGATCTTGGCCCTATTTCTCCCTACTCAAAACCAGTTGTTACCAGTTTGGGGGTGAAACTTGATGCTGGACTTAAATTTGATGCTCACATCAATTCTGTGATCCGGTCCAGTTTCTTTCACCTGAGACGCCTTGCAAAAATCAAGCATATGCTGTCAAGAGCCCACCTGGAGCGGGTACTGCATGCCTTTGTAATTTCTAGGCTTGACTACTGCAACTCTCTCTATGCAGGGTTGTGTCAGTCATCACTGCGTCGCCTACAGGTTGTGCAGAACGGCGCAGCCAGGTTCCTGACTGGGACCAGGAAACGGGACCACATCAGTCCGGTTCTGGCCTCCCTGCACTGGCTTCCGGTTTGCTATCGCTCTCAATTCAAAATCCTCGTCTTTGTTTATCATTTCTTCCAGGGTGGGGGCCCCCCCTATCTAGCCACACTCCTGGACAGACATTCCCCATCACGCGCTCTACGCTTCTCTCACCAAGGCCTGCTCGCTGTCCCTCATTCTAGGTGTCGTACTCGCAGGGACCGGGCTTTCTCAGCCCTAGCACCGTCACTCTGGAACCAGTTGCCACCCTCAGTTAGGCTGTCCCCATCTCTGCCAGTCTTTAAGAGTCGCCTAAAAACACACCTCCTCCGCTTGGCGTTTCCAGAACATGTTTGATTTTGTCCCTCTTTTATGTTGAATTTATTTCACAGTTTTTGTTGGTTCACTGTATCCATTGTTTTACACATTTGTCCTGTACCAGAATGTTTCACCTATTTTGTAATTTGTATTTTGTAATTTGAATTGCTTTTATTTTTGATTTATTCAATATATTAAATATATATTAATATAATATATTTAATACAATTAAATATATTAAATATATTTACCTTCAACTGAACCATGTTCAGCGCTTTGGGCTTCCTGACAGGGTTGCGGAAGGCGCTTTATAAATAAAGCTTCGATTTATTGATTGATTGATTAAATTAAAGTTGGACAGACGACATGATTATGACTTGAATATTCTAAGTCAAGTCCAAGTCCTTGACTTGGACTTCCACATTATCGACTTTGAATTCGACTTGAACTTGCTTGTTTTTGACTCGAGACTTGACTGGAAAGACTTGTGACTTACTAGTAACTTGCAAAGCAGTGACTTGGTCACACCTCTGTTACAATGAAAGGCTTCAGTAGTAAATACTGCATTCACTTTTTTGCCCCGGCTGTTCTTCATTCTGCACCAAATAGCTTGTTTTCATGCATTCACAAATATTTTCAAGTCTATTTCTCACAATAGAATCATTTCCATAAAGATTTTTGTTCAGGAAACTTTTTCAAATGAAGTCTGAAGAGAACACAAGCTTAATTTCGGAGACCGAAAGAGTTGCAATGTCGACCAATTTTTCAAATGTTTATGATTTTATTAATTATTTAAATGTTTCCTTTTAGTTTTCATTTAAACTAATTCTGTCCGATCCAGTTTTATTTGTAGAGCACATTTATAAACAGCATATCAGCTGACCAGATAGGGCAAAAAACAAAATCATGGTACAGCAGTGCTAAAAGCCCTCAAACCAGCAAGCATAGAAACAACAGGTTAGAGCTAAAAACACATAAAATGTTCAATAAAGATAAAAATGATAAAGGTGGACATTAATGTCCCCAGAAAATACATCATGATAAAAACAAACATTTCAATGTAATTATTTTTCAAAAGCCATTATAAAGGCTAGATCTGAAATATAGAATATTTGTTAGCTTTGACTTTGTCTCTGGAAGCATATACTTTTTTTATTATCTGTTAATCACGCCATTGTTTTACTAAATTTAATCTGTGTTTGGTACTTTATCTGATGATTCATCATGCTGCTACAGCTGTGAGAAATACATGAAACAAAAAGGATAAAATCTCATGAAATGCTTTAAACTCTTGCAAAAAACTCCAAATAATGGAAGCATTAATCCAGGAACCGCATTCCTAAACTTCATTTGAAGTACTATTTTATTAATTTCATATAAAATTACAATAAGGAGCTTGTGGATCGGCTGTATGTGCATTATTTATGTCACACTGAAGAGCAAAAAAAAGCTAACAATTCCTTTAGTTGCATTAGACTCAATAAATGGTAATCTTGTTCTTGTTTTGTTTTAAATCACTTGCAATTGCATGTTTAAATAATCTCACTTTACCACCATCTGACTGCTTTAAATGAACCAGGAAACATCACACTGCACTTGTGAGAAGAAAGTTAGAATAACGCACATTGCTGGCAGCTAAAGAGGCAGATGTAGAGTTGTCGTGTGTTCTGTTTTATAATGAACCCGTGGTTGAAAGATGCAGGGCAGGTTTTTTACTGTGAAGGTGATTTAACCTCATATTCAGCACCTTTAAAGCTTAGTTTCTCTGCTGATCGACACATTATAGAACCAACACACAGCTGCTTCAGAACCTCTGACACAAGCACCATGGATTGGATGTACCACTAGTTCTACAGGTAGTTTGGCAAATCTAGTGCTTCATGTGTCTCTTGCTGACTTTAAAAGTGACTGATGTGCACCGAATCCCTGTGTCGCAATATGAAAACGTAGAAAACCATATAATACATGGGTCCCAAAGCATACTTTAAAGTGAATAAAAGCTCATCGAAAATTAATGAAACAAAGGAAAAATGGTCACTAAAAGCAAATGACGGTCCTCCACTTGAGTTATAGCTAAAGACTGGTGGTGCAGAACAAAAAAGACGTTTTTGTATTTTTTTATATATTTTTTTTAGCTTCCAGTTATATTGGAGCACAAGTGAACTAGTAAAGTTGTAAGGAAGCATGATAAATATTAAAATGTGTCAAGTTCAGTTTTAGAGTATAATCATAATAGGAATAAAGTCTTGATGGTTAAAAATCAGCAGACCACTGGAATAAAAGACGTGTTGGTGTTGTTATTTGTTGAAGTAAACATTTTTGTTTTATGTAACCAAATATGAATAATAAAAGAAAAATAACAGAAGTTGAACAAATGAATAGATTAGCAGACTTAGTGAAACAAGATGTTCTGAGATGAACTCATGGGTTGAAATGACAGGAATAGATTTGAGCAGCTGCTCCCACAGAGGAATGGGGTTAGTCCGAATTTTGACTTATTTCCATTTAAAAAGTGTTTTATTTTAACCTTATTCCCACTTAGAAAGGTTTTCATCCATGCCTGAGCAGACTGCATTTGTCAGCGTGCAGTCCCTTTTCATTTCCTCCTGCAGAGTTCACCTCGTAAATTTGGCAGTTTTCAAAGTTTTCCAGAAGTTATCTTTTGTCTTAACAGAGTGATTTAAGTTATTGTTTGTAACTGTGTTCTGTACCCTTTTGCATTAATCCTGACTGTTTTTCAAGTCCCAACTTTTATGTGATTTGATTGAAGATCATGATTTGAATTAAATCTGCTTTTTAATTGGCTGAATTGGAAAGTTTTCTGACACTGGAATGCCCCGTCTAAATGCTCATTTTATTTATTTTTGTTCAAATTCAACAGGCTTCCTTATACACAATTTAACTCCTGCTTTAATTATTTAGTAGAAAAGCTAAATTAGGACTCAGACAGTGCTCATTTTGTTGATTTCATAATGTGAAAGCTTATGAATCGGTGCGATAAGATGTTACATGCTAGCCCTTGAGTAAGGCTGCCTGAGTTGCTGTGGTGTTTTTGCAAATGAAATCCTTAGTGTTCTATTTATTTTTGAGGAACTTGTTTGAAAAAGCCAGATGTTTATCTACAATTCTGGCTGTTTGGTTCAATTAGGTTTTTATGATCCTTGTCTTCAGATAATATTTATGCCTGCTGATATCGTTCATGCAGAGTTAGAGGACTGTAACGGTTTCCTTCCATCAAAAAGTTCAATAAAGATTTGAATTTTCTCAGCCTCTTTGGAGTTATTCCAACAAGGACAAAATGGATAAAGAACTTGCATAAATGTGTTTGAATATAAAATTCCAGACACTGTGCTGCTGCCTAAAGGGTTTGGTTAAACGCATCACATCTTCTCTAAGAAACACATTGTTCAGATTCAGTGAGGGGGTGGACGACTCAGAGTCGGGGAGAAAATCTGGCGCTTCAGATGACAACACAGGGACACACTGAGTGATATTAAACTATTGAATTGCCAGCGTTTCACCCGTAGTGTTTCTTTGTATAGCCTGCTCAGCTAAAACTGAATTTCTGTCTATTGTCTGATGCGTTACAACAAAAGTAAAACTGTATCCAGTGTGGAATATTTCTGTCAGAGCACTTTGCATCATTTGTTTTATTGTTTGCAATCTACAAGTGCTCCATAATTAATCCTGTGAATTTGCATCAACAAGCAGCCCTGAAGCTGTTTCACAGCACCAAATTAGTTTCCCTGGACCAAAGCAACATTTAGTCATGCCCTCATGTGCAAGAAGTACATTAATATATCTGAAATACATTTTCATCATTAGATTTTTCAGCCAGTTTTCAATGATAATGCTCTTTTGCACGTCTCCTGGTTCCTCGCCCATCGCTACTCAGTGACAGGTATACTTGAACCTCGCTGGAGCTACTGCTGTGTTGAGTGAACACGCTAATTACCGACATGAGCACACAGCCATCATCCTGCCACGCTGCACCTCCCATACAACCAAGCTTGGGTGAAACAATAAGGCCTCATCAGCCTCAGGAGGAAAAGAAATAAATCCAGTCACTTGGAAAAAATAACACTAAGCAGGTAAGACGGTGGGATATGATGAAATCTATTGGACAGCAAAGTTAAATGGTTTTTGTTTGTGTTGAGAGGTCACAAATTACATTGTTTATGGCAGGATATTTTCATCTCATTTGTCACCAAGGCATAATGTGGATACTAGCACAGAACTGGCGGAGTGTAGGCCAGACAGAACCAGAACCAACTTGTTTCTAAATGAGGGGTTGCATCAAGGATGTAATCTAACAGATCTGGGTCTTTTAAGACAGTTTACCTGTTGTTATGCTTACCTCAGAGAGAGAGAGAGAGAGAGAGAGAGAGAGAGAGAGAGAGAGAGAGAGAGAGAGAGAGAGAGAGAGAGAGAGAGAGAGAGAGAGAGAGAGAGAGAGAGAGAGAGAGAGAGAGAGAGAGAGAGAGAGAGAGAGAGAGAGAGAGAGAGAGAGAGAGAGAGAGAGAGAGAGAGAGAGAGAGAGAGAGAGAGAGAGAGAGAGAGAGAGAGAGAGAGAGAGAGAGAGTGTGAGTTTGGTCACTGATGGAAGGCAGAGACAGGAGGGGACACGGGAAAGGGTCCACTGAAGCCATCCAGCATAAAATGTAACATTAAACATGAGATATGTAGCAGAATATTATTTAAATGTGGTTTCAGGAGGAACGTTTTGAAAGGTTTGTGTAGCTCATACATAAGTAAGTGAGCTAGCGTTAGGGCCGTGATGGATTTGCTGTTTAACCTCGCGTTGGAGCAGGCAGCAGGCTGCGTTTTGTTCACATACTTGCTGCTACACGGCACTGCACTACATGTAGTACTGGAGTGTTCCTCTAGGGGCGCACTGAAGAACTCAGACCAGATAGAGAGTCGGGTTTGTGGGTACAACCCATAGACTGTACATACTGGACAAACGGATTCGATAGACTCCAATAACACGTTTTTTGTCTATAATGGGAGGTGGCCACCACCGCCATTTTGACCGTGTCACAGGTTCCGTCCAGCCCAGACAATTCCATTAAAGGGAAGAGAGGAGGAGCTGAGGGTGGGGCTGTAAGGCTGGGCTCGAGTGACGACACCCGTGCGAACTAGCTACGAGCTAACCTGAAGCTAACCCTGGCTAACCCAAAGCTAACGCGGAGGTGGGAGCCGAGCTAACGGATGTAGCCACCTAGCTTCAACCCAACCGGAGCTAACTGGAACACCCATCGACCTGAACCTCACACGGAGTTTAGGTGGAGGTTTTCAGCGCCTGTTAGTGACAAGTACCTGGATTAAAAAAGTATTGAATCGGTAAGTTTATAATTTATTTCCGTAATGAAAACATTTTGCTGTGAGCAAGTTTTCAGTACCGTATCTTCCGGGCTATCGCTCCTGAGTCGCACCAGCCATTAAATGTATAATGAAGAAGAGAAAATATATTTAAGTCGTATTTTGGGGGGACATTTTATTATCTTTCTTACAAAATCTGAGACCAAGCGTTTCACATTGCAACACAAGCACCGGTAACCATAACAGAATGAACAACAGCCAGCAGAGGAGAGGATGGCAGTGTTTCAAACCCTCCCGGCCGGCGAGGAGAGCTCATTCCTGGGCTGGAGCCGGCCCTCAGCACCCCGCCACAGGCTCTAACAGATGCTGGCGGTGTTTGAAACCCTCCCAGCGGGACAGGGGAACTCATTCTTGGGCGGGTCAGAGTCGGCCCGCAGCAGCGCGGTGTAGCCTACATATTTTGTTATATAAGTCGCTCCGAGATAAGTAGCAGGACCAGCCAGAATATGTAAAAAAGTGCGAGTTATAGTCCGGAAAATATGGCATTTATTAGTATTCGAGCTAAATATGCAGCCTAAATACATTTCATATATTTCCAAAATGTGATACTTGTTTGTATCTTGTACAGCCAACTAGTCTTTATTCTGGACTCAGTACAATTCACCAAAAGTAAAGAGACATTATACAGATGAAGTAAGCACAAGATAACTTACTGGAAGACACGGAATTATCATCAGAACCAGAACAAGAGAGCCTGATAACAGTCATGTGAAAATAAGTTAAAAAGTATGTATGTATAATAGAAATAAAAATATATTAGAATTAGTGTAACTCACTGTGATCCAAACAATAAATCAGCCATAGCTGATTAGTAAATATGGGAGTTTTTAATTTTAATTTTTATTTTTTTCTTAGATCTGTTTAAATGTCACCATGGCAGCCTGTGTGTCTCCAACATCAGCTACACAAAGCAGCAAGTGTAAGTTCCACATACCTGTCTCACCACTTCATGTATGGTTTTGTACTTTAAACAATTATGACAAACCTGTTATTTTATTCTCCATAGCCATTTGGATCATTGGAGACAGCTGAGTGAGGCGTGGTGCCCAGAGAGCTGCAGAGACCGGAGACAACCTTGGCCTCCCTGACGTCTGTGTCTCCAGGTTCGGTTGGGGTGGACCATCGACATACATACATGTGCCGACACTTTGCGCCCTGTTTTATAAACTGTAGTGTTAAAAATAAATGTTTTTGCTCAATTACTGGATTTTCTTTGGTTAAGACAAAAGTGAGGAATAATCATTTACAAGTTATTTGTACAACAGGCCCATTTTAAATCCCAACAGTTTCTTAGCAGACAATAGAAATGTGTTCTTTACTAACTTTACTTGGTTTAAAAATCTTACTAAAATAGTGCCGTATTGCAAAACCCAATCATACTTATGTAAACATTAGCTTTTTAGATATTTTTTACAGATATATATTTGTGTGCAACAAAAACCAAACTTAAATAATTTGTCATTCTTTATTGAAAAACAACAAAATACAGTTATACAGAAGTGTGGGAAAATGATAATGTGAAAGTATTGCTATTTAAATGTAATCCTATTTATCTTTAAAAAGAAAAACTCTAAAAATGTCCTGTACAGCATCATGACAGAAGAATGGTGGTCTGTCTGTCAGAATGTGCTGAACAGATTTGCTCTTTGAAGAGGAGTGTCATGTTTGGAGGAAGGTACTTAACCCAAGACATGCAGAATACAACACTGACCAAAAACTGATGGAAAAAATGATTTATTTATAAGGAGGAACTTAAGGTGCACAGATAAGTCTTTGGTTGGAACTGCAACAACAGCTCAGCGTCTGGAGGAGGGAGAACACAGGTTAGCTTAGGTTCTGGTTTCAAAATCCATTGTAGGCAGGCAGAGGTGTTCAGCAGACTTACTGTGGTGGGTGTACGTGTTGGCTGGAGGAGGGAGAGGTAGAGAGCCGGGGGAAGCGCAGGAGAGGGAGCAGATGTGGAGAGAAGCGGGGCGTCCTGGTGGATGGGGCACTGGGTGAGATGAGAGGTGGGTTATGGAGGGTGGTGATAAGGTCCGTGTGTTGAATATCCAAATCCTGGAGTAGAGGTCAGTATCCAATGAGGTCGACAGGAATCCTGAAGAATGGTAAATCCAATATAAGAGCAAAAACACTACGAAATAACATTAATCCTAGGAACACTAGAGGTAACACGAGTGGCTGGTTACTACCAAAACTGAGGCAATCTTCTGGCGTCAAATTGTGTCCTCCATCCACCTTAAATAGGAAAGCACCCCGCTGATTGCTGATCAGGAATGGCTGGGGTGGTGTCACCAGAACCATGAAGAACGTGTCTCCAGAGACAACCCGGGTCCTGGTACCGATCAGGAAGCGGACCTTATCACCCAGAGCTGCCAGGTCACGCTCAAAGCCTTCATGTTCACGCTGCAGAGCCTGAACGCTGGCCAGGTCGTGGCCGTAGTTGTCTGTGTTCAGGGCCTGGTTCTTCTCCTCGATCCACTCTTTGGTCTCATCAGCGTCTCTGAGAAGACATCAGAACTCCGTCTGAGTGTGGGTCCAAACTCTACTGACCCGTAAGCGGCGCATACGTGTGCGGGGTACCTGTGGAAGCGCTGCACCTCATGGGCACTGCCCAGCATGTTGCTCCGGTCTTCAGTCAGCTGTTGCAGCGAGCGCCAGCGGTTGTTCAGCTCCTGGAGAGAAACCAAACCCAGTGAGATGAAGGTGGACGCCAGCGGGCTGGACGCCGGACGAGGAAACCTGGAGACGGATCGCTCAGACAGGAAGGGAAGAGCTTCCTCTTACCTTGATGGAATTTAAGTTAGCCGTCGTCTGAACGCCCAACCGTACGGTCTGAGGTCAAAGGTCACAGGAAACACACACCAGTCAGCAGTCATACAGATGCATAAAGATAACTGTAGCCATGGCAACCAGCTGACATGTCCCCACTTTCACCAGCACCTGGTGCCTGCCGGGTCACCTGAATTCCTGTGTGATGTCAGCACGGTCGGCCGTGACTGCGGCCATCAGAGGTGACCTCTGATCAGCTGAATGAACTCACCTTCTAGGGTGACGCCGTCTTGCCCCGGGTTTCCACGGGAGCCGTCAGCAGCACGTTACTGCAGCAGCACGTCTTGCTTGCGTAAGCTGCTGCTTGGCCCTTCCCACGAGACGCGAAGCAGCAGGGGAGCAGCTGTCACCGACCGAGCACGAAGTCACACGAGTGACTTCGTCAGTAAACACAACAACAAGCAGGAGAAAACTACAACATGGTTTGTGTTTTATGTTCTGTCCGTTTTATAATCGCCAATACGGACCTGAAAAACAAAGGAGACCGCTAGCTAGGTGATAACTTCTCACTGGGCCGCAGTTAGTAACCTTTTTTAAAAGTAAAGCAACCGGAAGGCAGTACGTTCTTTATTCTGAAAATCTCGGTAGCTTCTCTCAATTTCCACATCCGATTTCCTGTCTTTCCTTCCCCAAAAATGTCGAACTTGACCCGTTTCAGAGGCGTCGCGCGTAGAAAATAGAACCGGCGCGTAAAGGCCGCGACATGCTGCTCCTGAGACGCGGCCGACTCGCGCTGCTGACGGTTGCTGACGGCTCCAGTGGAAAAGGTTCTGTTGACCACAGCGGTTCCTATCAGCAGCTATGACGTGCTGCTGCAGTAACGTGCTGCTGACGACTCCTGTGGAAAGCCGGGGTTAGAGTCGGCTTCATCCTGTAAACAAACAAATGAGTGGTAACAAAAACACCACGTCTGGTTCTGGTGGAGGCGGAGGACAACACGCACCTTTCCAGGAGCAGAACCCAGATGTTCTTGTTGCTACAAACAGAGACAAGCAGAGTTAACAAACCAGGAAGTGAGAGGGACCAGCTGCTGCAGACAGGTGACGCTCACCTGAGCCTGAACCATAGGAGCCTCCTCAGCCATCAGACCTTCTGACTCCAGTTCAGATGCCACCTTGTTGATGTCCCTCAGGCGGGACTCGTTGGCCTTCAGGTCCTGCAGGACAAAAGCACCTGCTGATTATCACCTGAGCTGATCTGACAGCTGCTGCTGGAAGACGGAGAGGAGGAAAAGTCCGACCTTCTGGAAGTCGTCAAACTTCTTCTGCAAGACCTCGACCTGCTCCAGGTCCGACCCGTCTCTCCATCCTCATTCAGCTAAAGACGCGAGTTCAAGTAAAACAACCTAAAGTCACACAAACACAAAGCAGGTGTGGAGATGTTCGCTTGTCCCAACGTCCATGAAGCTCCCACAGTTTAGTCTTCACTTCCTCACCAGCGAAGTGACCTGGACCCAAACAAAGTGAGCCAGAACCTGCAGACACCTCAGAAACATGTCAGGACCAGACCTGCTCTACCTTCTTCCACTATGGTCTCTCCTTTCTGGTTGACAGCCTTGATGCGAGGTTCATGACCTGTGATCTCAGCCTGCAGAGCCTGGTGCTTCTTCAGCAGGTTCTGGACACCAATCAGGTCCTTCCCTGAGGACACATGTTAGAGTTCAGCATTATGTAGTAGACAGACCAGTTTAACCCAGGGGTTTCTTTCTTCTACAATCTGCTCTTTAACTGTATTATTTCCTGCTATTTCAGCTGTTAACTTTATTTTTTCTGTAAGTGTTTTTCTCCCCAGAAGAAGCTACAACGATGTTCTGCTGAGCTGTGGTGGCCTTATGTAGGGGGCCATCGTCTAGCACACTGCTGCTAACCACTTAATCATTCTCCCTCTCCTGATAATAACATTTTACTTTCTTTGATGTTGGATGTACTACTGCTAGTTTACCCGTTTAATTATAGATTCACTAGGAAAAATACAATAAAATTTATCTCTCGCCAAATAGAATATTTACTAAGAAATCACAATGTAACGTGTGTGTGTGTGTGTGTGTGTGTGTGTGTGTGTGTGTGTGTGTGTGTGTGTGTGTGTGTGTGTAAAAGCCATGTGTAGTGTTTATTTATAAAGCATATGTTGTTGGATTTTATCCAGAATCGAGACTTTGAAAATATATAGTTTAATTACAGTTTGATTTATTAGACATCTGTATAATGTTTATTATTTTGTTTTTTTCCACCTAAATACCTAACGTTTGAGTTAAACAAGAATATCAGTCATTCATCCCAATACATGAAGTTACACATTTTAAATTTTAATAGGGGAAGACTGCAGGAGGGAGCAGTAAAATACAGGGGGTCCCCTGCAAAAACTAACTTTACGAGTCTGATGAAACTTGCTGGTATTCCCGCTGCTTCTTCGGTAAACAGCGCCAACAAAAACAAAGAAACTTGGGATCTTGTTGGCGTGGCGGTGGGATATAAGGGAAACGCTGTATGCCCGATAGACTTCTCAACGAGCTGCAGTATTTCTCCGGTCAGATCTGTCTCCGAGTTCCACGAGCGGTCAGCCCGCAGCAGCGAGGCGCCGCATCGGTCAGCCTGCCCGGCCTGACCGCTGGGGATTACCGGATGAAAGAATGGAGCACAGAAGTGTCCCCCCAAGCGGCGCGCCCCGTCATATTTCAACCCATTTTTATCTTAAATGCACTGGGTTTTACCCTATTACCCATCTAAATATGCCCTATTAATTATTTTACCGTATTTTACATTTAAATTTCATGGTTAAACAGTACATGCTACATGTTAAACTGATAGTTAGCTAGCTACTTCGGTAAACTCAGCTAGTTTAAAGGTGGCAGTGACATAAAATACGAATATAGATTTTAACTTACCGAAAAAAATGAAGTGGAGACTCCTTGGACGCTCTATTAGTGCAATTAATACCACTGCAAGTCATTTTGTCCAACAATTGCACCAATAATATCCAAAACAGAATTCACAAGCACAGAGACTCAAAATCCCGAAACAGTTTCCAGGCCAGACCGAGGCTGTACTGAGGCCTTTCCACGGAGCTAGCTCTGTGGTCACGTGGGTCTGAGGCGGCGGTCACGTGTGTCGGATGCTCATTAATTATACAAAATTTTAGGCTTTCAATACACTTAAACAGAAGAGTGAGAAAAAAATTCACCCCCCTCAGAGTTGTCATGAGTATAAACTAGATAATTTAGACAAAAAACATGTTCTGGTACCAGGCTGTAAACATGTTTATTTCTGCTGTGAAATCGGCATTTTTAACATGGGAGTCAATGAGGATTTGCTCGCTTCTGGTACCAGCCCCCAGCGGATGAGGGTGGAACTGCAATTTTTCTTACTTC